AACTGTGAAAAGCTGAAATTTTGACAACTGGTAGTCGTTATCATCCATAATAACATACTAAAATTTGAATCATTTGCAAAGGATAGAAAAAGAATTATAACATTTATTTATTTTCAAATTTGGAACGTCCAAAAGTAAGGGACAAAATTGAGAAAAACAATGTAAACAGCAAAAAAAAAAAAAAACAATAAAAATACATGTACAATCAATATTTAGTAAATGAGCCCTTGCTCTCAATGACAGCTGCACATCTTCGACTACAAGAACGAATCAGTTCTTGACAATCCTCGATACTAATTTTAGACCATTCTTCTTGAAGCTTCACCCGCAAATCCTCCGTGTTCTTCCCATAACTTTCACTCCTAAGGCCTTCCAAAGATTTTCTATTGGATTTAAGTCAGGACTTTGCGGTGGCCAATCCATAATTTCCAAATCTTGCTCGCTAAGGTAACTCATTACCACCTTTGCCTTGTGACATGGGGCATTATCTTGCATAAAGGTAGCCCTATCGAAACCTGAATTCTGTATGATTGGCACAACATGATCTTGAACAATGTTTTTATAGATCTGCGCGTTTACACGAGTTTGTAACCGGACAAGAGGCGTTGTACCTTGGCTAGAAAACATTCCAAATACCATGACGCTTCCGCCCCCAAACTTGACAGTTTTCTTAGTACACTTTGCACTTAATCTTTCACCAATACGTCTCTTTACATTGTTTTTTTCCATCATTTCCAAACAAATTAAACTTGCTTTCATCACTGAAAAATACTTTTGCCCAATTTTCATAAGTCCAAATTACATACCTGTTTGCAAACTCTAATCTCTTCTTATTCTTCGAACTAACAAGTGGTTTCTTCCCTGGGGTTCCATTAAACAGCCCTATTTCTTGCAGTCGTCTACAAACAGTCTGTCTTGACACATTAACACATGAGGTACTATTCATAACCCTTTTAATTTCTGTGCAAGACTTAAAACGGTCCTTTAATGACATACGCTGCATTATTCGATTTTCTCTTGCCGAAGTTTTGCGGGGTCTGCCGGTTTTAAAAGCACTAACTATTTTGCCAGTATCATTGTAGGATTTAACACTCCTGCCTACAACACTCTTGGAACGTTTCACTTTCTCTGAAATCTCTCTAATGGTGTGCTTTTCCTTGTGTAGCTTCACAATAGCTTGTCACACAGAGTAATCAAGTTTTTGGCGTTTCGCCATGGTGCCGGCTGATGCAACGTTTACAAATGACTAAGTAAAACTTATTCTTTAGAGGAAATCAAAAAATTTGAATATAGCATACTGTTTACATTGTTTTTCTCAATTTTGTCCCTTACTTTTGGACGATCCTATTTTGAAAATAAATAAATAATTGTTATAATTCTTTTTCTATCCTTTGCAAATGATTTAAATTTTAGTATGTTATTATGGATGATAACGACTACCAGTTGTCAAAATTTCAGCTTTTCACAGTTGTTATTTCTAACAAATATTAGGTTTTAAAATTTTGTCCCTTAGTTTTGGACGCTACTGTATACCACAGTAATATTGACACCAAAACAACATATTCTTAGTCACCATTCTTACCATAATACACTAAAGTCTCTATGCAGTCCTAACAAGTTCCCATAAGTACAATTTGTCTGTGGGGGAAAGCTCATTATAACAACTGCCATGAAAATATTTATAGAAAAGATAGCGGGAAGTCACATCACGGCGGTGGGAAAGTGATTGAAGTCGAGATGCCAGGTCAGGACCAATAATATTACAAACCCTCTTTTTATTTTGTTGAGAATCTCGAGAGTTATTTAGCGGGGGTGTTATGCCACATACGGCAGACATATTAATAATATCGACCGATTTAATAAAGACGTGTACTTGTTTTATTTATTATTGCCTATATTATTTATGAATGTTTTCTTCTTCCGTTATTATTATTATTAAAACACATTTAGTATAAGAGAAATGGAAACTGAAAGAAAGGAATATTAAAATGTAAAGCTAAAAATGAATCATATAAAAAAAATAGCAAAGAGAAGAAACAAAGACATTTCTATCGTTAAATAAAAAGAAAATTATTATTGATACTTTTTGTACACGCATGGCTGTCAATGAGGGACTAATGATACCCCTAAAGGATCAATAGTTTTTTCAATGGAAAATTCGCGGGCAATGAGTCTATAAATTTTTTTTATCGTCCGTATAAAGGGAGCTACACTATCTGATGTGATTTGAAACCCAGGCTTATTGCCATTAAATATTACAGTAGCAAATCCAACAAATTTTGCAATCTGTGGGGAGTCCTTTTTGTAACGCTTTTCTTTATTACCATGTCTTGAAGTTCCCAGCCTAAGATGCGATCTATGAATTGTAGACGTCGAAAGGAAATGCAGAAGTTTAATTATCTGGGAATTGTTTTAACAGACAATTGCAAACTGTGTCGTAAAAATACAAAGGCACATTGGAATATCGAAAGATGTCTTCTAGAAGCTAAGCAAAGTATTAAGGAACAAAGAAAAGAGTGATCAACTGCTATGTAATATAAATCCTCCTATATGGCAGTAAATGATGGACAATCCCTTCACAGATGAAAAAGAGATATGAGGAATTTCTGTAGTTCTACAAAAGAATGCTGAGTATATCACAGACAGAACATGTGAACAATGAAGAAGTTTTAAAGAATAAAATAAATGTGAATAAAATGGCCGCTTGTATTTCCAATAAGGTAGAAGCAGTTGAAACTTCTGCTAAAAGAATTACTCATTATGGAAAACGTAGGCCTGGAAAATTTGATAGTCATAGGGCAGACTGAAAGCAAGAAGGGCAGGGGAAAACAGCGAATAAACTACCTCACGGGGCATTAGTAAATCTCGATAAAAGGAAGCAAACATTACTTCGATCTACAAAGGATAGGAAGCTGCGGAGAGACATGATCGTCCACGTCCCGAAGGAACGCAGCACATAAGAGAAGATATTCGTGGTGGTAATTCGCTTTAGAAATTAGGTTATCACACATATGCTAGGAGCCATTTACAACATATTAAGGAAGCATTACTTGACAAAGGAAAAACTATGATAAACTGGCTTCCATATCAGATATAATGAGGGAAAGGAGACGCAGATTTGGCAAAGACTTACTGGAGAAGCAAAGGAGAGCTTATTAGCGATACACTTATCTGGGCACTATCTTATGAACATAGCAGCATTGGCCGCCCTTTGAAGACATACATTGACCAAGCCACTCAAACACTGGATGCAATTTGTACGAACTACGAACTGTCAGGAAGGACGTATCATGAAGTCAATCAAATGCTGCTATGTAATTTCTTAACTCAATTTCCTTAAAGATGAAGATACTTGAAGTGATAGAGATGTGGTTCTCCTGATGAATACTATGCGTAGAAAATGTGGATAATGAAGAAAAAAATTCAAGAGTATACGAGCTACAAAGAAACCACTATTAACAATCAGAAATTTGGAGGACACATAATGAGGAAAGAAGGCTAGGAAAATTTAACAAGCACAGGGATTATTGAAGACTAGAGAATTAAAGTTAAACAGTAACCTATTTGAGGAGTCAGAGCAAATGGTAATACTAATATTAGCCGTTTCCTTATAAGAAAACATTTGGAATTCATTTGTCGAGCAGCTTGTACTAGTGTCAGTTGAAATTTATAAAATCTTTCCTTTGAAATATTTTTTTAGGAAAATAGGTTTCTGAAGTCCAGTAACTGTTATCGCTCTTTCCAGTATTGATGGGAAGCATCCTTCCTAAACTTTTATTTGAAGTAGTGTGAAATCTTTTGTTCCACGTATATATGCTATCCATTTGGGCTGCTTCTGAAAGTCCTCAAGTAATGTGGTTTCTGCAATAATAGATGGCCTTAGAGCAACGATAGTCAGGAAGCTGTGGAGAGCCATGATCACCGATATCCTGAAAGGACCAGCATATGAAAGAAACTAAGATTTGTAAATATTTATTATGATACCATGAACCATTCTCACCGGGGTGATAGCACCTGTTAGGGTCCCAGCTATGGGAAAATAGTTAACACCCAAACTTGTGTAAAAATAGATTTTAATACCAGAAATACTGTATAATACATTGAAAAAAATATTACCAGCAATAATTTTTGAAGGAAAAATTATTATCAGCAATACAAACAGCTATACATTTAAAAAAAATATTACCAGCTATAGATTTCTTGAAGGAAAAATATTTTGAAGAAAGACATTAGCAGCAATAAAAATTTTGTCAGCATTAAATAACCCATTGAGGTTGATATGCCATAAAACAAACCAAACTAAACCATATCAGATGTACTAAGGAAAAAGAAGCTTAGATTTGTCGGACACTTTCTGGAGAAGCAAAGGAGAGCTTATTAGTGATATCATCATCATTATCATCATTCCCTTGACTTTTGTAATTGTAAAACGGATCCGAATACTGAAGTCACACTTTTCCACAACGATCTATCAACGGCAGCCATCGGCAATTATGGTACATTCATATCTGTCCATTGTTTGACATTGTCCAACCAGTTTTTGCGTTGGCGTCCTCTCCTACGTCCACATTGAACGGTGTCTTGCATGATGGTTGCACAGGCTGTCGAGCCTTGTAATGTGTTCAAACCACGCCATTTTTCTCCGTTTGACAGTGGCGAGAAGAGGTTCCTGGTGTCCTACAAAACTTTCAACCCTTTTCTGAACAAACTTTTTTGTTCCCAATAGAAAATGCCAAGTAGTTTTCTCATGCATTTGTTCTCAAACGCTTGTAACACTTCTCTCTGTATCTGCCAACAGTATCCATGTTTCACATCCATATAAGAGAATGGAGACTACCAGTGATTTGTACAGTCTGTACTTTGAAGCAAAATTTCTGTACTTTCAAACAAAATTAGCAACATACTTCTCTGTAAACCATCTCATGGATATAAAAGCATTTGGCGCTCTTTAAAGACATACATTGACAAACTCACTAAAGGGGTTTACAACTACATCATGTTCAAACACTGGTTTCTATACGATCACCGAAGTTAAGCTGCAATTAGCCTGGTCAGTAGCTAGATGGGTGCCCGTTTGGAAATACTAGGTGGTGTAATGGATACTGGCTCGGAATTTTTAATGGGAGAGCCGAGTTTCATTTCCCGTTGTGTTGGTTATATTTACTTGCGCGCAAATACCTTTGAGAAGGGTGTAAATCCACCTCTTCTCCCCCAGTTAGGGGTTAATTGGTAAAACTTGTATCACTAAAAAACATTCTTACAGTTTAAAAAGGTTTTCTGGTTTTGGATAATCCGTAAAAAACGAATAAGAAATCCAAAGATATTAAATGCAATATAGACGAATTAGCAACTGACATGGATGACCGCGAAGAATGGTATCATGAAGTCAAGGAAACCTGAGTAAGCTCGACACGATGATGATAATGATGATTTACGCTATGTACAAGTCAAGTACTGGTAGTTTATGACGTCTGAGTAAACAGTAGTCTACCAACTTCACATATAAGACCGGAGAGATACGTTGTACTATTTGTCGAGGCAAAGAGTGTTTTTATATATCGATAATTGTGCGAAGGGTGGGGACTTTGTGGGTAAATAAATTGGGCAAAGGCGTTCACTCTGAAGTAATCTCAGAGGGAAAACCTTAAAACAAGTTTCACACAAACCGCGACGGGTGTGTCTCCTTTGAATAGTTTATATGAGAGAGAGAAGGAGAGAGGGGATGAAGCACTTCAACGTGGTGCAATGGTCAACAAGCTTCTCTTGTTAGATCACTTACGACTGAGTAGTGAGCTCGATCATCACTGGGTGCTCCATACTTTCGGCCTTGCGCCACAACTAAGTTATGCTTTGTAAATCAATGAAGGCACTTCGGGGTGGTGTAATGGTTAGCAAGTTTGTCTCGCTAGAACAATTACGACTGAGTAGTGAGTTCGATCCTGACTGGGTGCTCCATACTTTTGGTCTTGTGCCACATCTAAGCTACACTTGGAAAATCACTGGGCACCTCGAGGCGGTGCAATGCTTAGCAAGCTTGTCTCATTAGATCAAATACGAGTAGAAAATTCGATCCACACCAGGTCCTTCGGTCTTGTGTCACCTATGTTACTCTTAGAAAATCTATATATATATATATATATATATATATATATATATATAATAAAAGAGGTAAAAAACGGTATATTATCGCCGCACACTACCGTGGTTTCGACGTAACGGTCGAAATCACGCAATCTGAGATTGTCCAGCATTGGCTAAAACTTAATTTCTGTTTAAAAAACACATTGGTCCAAAAAAAATTTCTTTTTGTCAGACAGAGAAATTGTGCCGGTGTATATTTTAATTCAATGAAAGATGAAAAATATTTCTACAATTTTTTTTAAAAAACCTTTAAAAAATAATTTAATTATCACGGAATAATTTGCGAAAAGTTCAATAAAGTCAAATAATTAAAAATAATGTTTTCGGGTTTAAAAAATTAAGTTTTTTTATTGGCTCCAAATTTATGATTTTTATTGTTCAGCCCTGGTCAGGAGTTGTCCTGTTTTCTCATTATGTGTCCAAGAAATTTCAGATGTTTCTTTCTTAGTATTTTTTTTTATATTCAATTTTATGTTTATGCGCCTCTTCCATGGGATGCTCAGTATCCTTCTCCAGAGCCATGATTTCTTTTACCTCCAGGCGAATCAGTGCAAAAATATTCACTGACTCATCGGAGTGGTGGTATCTTTAACCTCAGAGGCAAATGTTGATGAAAATTTGATCTAAAAGACGCCGAGGTTTGCAGTTAGTAGAATGAGAACAGCATTTCCTCGACAAACGGAATGAAGAATTTCATTCAAAATTCTTGGAAAACCGCCAAATAGGACAAACATCCGAAAAAGTCCGACCAGTACATCGGTCAAAACTTTCTCACAGAAGCAACACATGCGGAAAAATCTGACACGAAGTATCATCTACAAAACAAAGAGAAGAAAACCTGTTTCAGATGCTGATTTTCTAGGCAAGCAGAACCCCCTGCCTACAAAATCTTCACTCCATTTTCCTCCAAATGGCCTTGTGTCGTATTAAGTTTATTTCAAATAAGAATATATAAACTCTCCGTTTAATTTATCAGTAAAATTATTTTGATTATAAAATCCAAAAGATCAACAGTTAAAAAACGATTGTAACTGTTTACATGTGACACATGTCACGTGTGGTACTTGTGGTAGATTAATAGACGAGAGATTAAGAGGTCAGAAATAGCAATAAAAATGTCAGCTTGGTCCGTTCGTTCTTATAAACAGTTTTTTTTTTTAAATCTCTATGAACCAATTCGCAGACAACTTGTAAAATCCATGATAGTAAATAGTATAACACTCAATGGGCTCATTTCAATAATTGGACAGTTTTCTTGAGCTCATCTTTTTTTTTTTTCACTAATGGCGCCCAAACCTACACTTAGTTCTTGTTTCTGGATTGTCTTCCTTTCCTGAATCATCAAGGTAGATGCATATTTTAATAAGAGAAGAAAATCAAAATAAACATTCTGCAGGAATGAAGAAAGTAACTCCCCATTTCATATATATATATATATATATATATATATAGTTAAATTCCCAGATGAATTCTGTGGACAAGACAGATTGGTATCAAATGACAATTGGAAAAAAAAAAAATAAAATAATAATCCCTTATTATAAAGGAAATTTACATTAACCAGAAAAAAAGGCTTAGACACAAGCGTCTATCTTTTTATTTTTGAATTTTAATGTAACTATAACAACAAAAACATTTCGATTTCATTTTTGCCTTGAAAAAGTCGGAAGACGAAACGCGTCGGCAAAATGTATGATTTTTTTCCAATTGTCATTTGATACCATATATATATATATATATATATATATATATATATATATATATTATAAATTAAGTCCTCAGATTGCCAAACCCTCTGAAATATTCGTACTGAGCTTCCGGTGCGAATGCCAAGCAGTACAGCATGCCTTTTTCCAAATTTATGGCGGAGTGAATCGTGTTGTGGTGTTCTTTTTTTCACTGAACTGACCCAAATATACTGTGCAGTCGATGAATTCAAAATGTTCTTGCGCGAAATTAAAAAATATAAAATGGCGACAATTTTCCACCGCACTATATATATATATATATATATATATATATATATATATATATATATATATATATATATATGCCATATTTATGAAAAGAGAATATAACGAAAGAACTTGTTGATATTGCAGCTATTTAATCTTTACTAACTTATAAATCTGCGCACAGGATTTGTTTTCAAATATCTCCTTTCCTAAAAGAAATACCCTTTCTCTAGCCAATTTTTTTTAAGCATTTCACCCCAAGCAAGGCGGGAAGCCACTAGAACGCAAGGGGTTACAGAAAGTTTAGAGCAAGATCAGATAGGAGTGATAGAGGAAAGGATGAGGAGAAGGATAGTGGATAGATCGAGGCAACTGGAGATGTCGATTGACATTACACTTGAATAGCTGGAGATTATAGCTCACAGGGAAACAGGAATAGGGAAGGGAGTTCCACAGGCGAGAGGTGTGAGACATGAAGCTATTAGAGTAGAAGAGACGGCTACATTTATACATTGCCATAAAAAAATTAAAAGGAAACAGCTACATTCAAAACCTTCCATTATTTAAAATAAATAAATACAAATATATTTTATCAAATTAAAATAATAGATAATAATTATATTATAAATATTAAAAAAAAAGAAAAAAAAAGCTTCAACAACTACATTTACTTACTTTCATTTAGACATTAAATGACTTAGCATCCTCCAGAGCTAACCTTGACTTTTACAGTTAGCCACAGGAATATTTATGTGCGTTCTTAAAAATACTTGTTGAAAAATAAAATCCTTACATTTGCTTAGTAAAGTCCATCAGAGTACGAAACGCCTCGGTAAAGAAAGGTTTTCACTTTTGTCTTTATTCATATATCAGTGTGCATGCTTTTAAACAGGAATAAACTCTCTAAACGTAACATTTTGTAAGCATGATAGATAGATAGATAGATAGATAGATAGATAGATGTTGAATATCATTATATGAAAAAAGGAGATAGATTGATAAATATAGCACAAATCGATAACGCCCAAATAAAACATAGAATTACTAAAATTTAACGCATAAAAAGAAAGCAGATTTTTATCAAGATTGTGCTTTCGTGTTTTTAAATATAGAACAAATTTGAAATTTGCTTGGAGTCTATGATTAGCGTGTTTTTTTTTTTTTTATATAGCGTATCCAACTATAATATCTGTCAATAAATATAATCGATTTATACAACACTTACGAGCAGTTTACACGCGAAACTTAAAATCGGTCGCGAATATATATATATATATATATATATAAATAAAATAAAAAGAAAGAACAGCAAGATATATAATCCGGTGTTCTTATAGATATTTTTAATTTTACAAAATAGTGCTCAATGTAAATTTACAGACCATTAATATTATAAATTATTTGATTTAAAATATGTTTTTTTTTCACTACACAGTTCTAACCATGTTTCAAAAATGGAAGCTAAAAGCCCCGAATTTAATTTTGTGATTAAATTAAAGACATTAGTTCCATCGCTTGAGGATGAAATGGAACTAATGTCTTTAATTTAATCACAAAATTAAATTCTGGGATTTTAGCTTCCATTTTTGAAACATGGTTAGAACTGTGTAGCGAAAAAAAACATTTTAAATCAATTAATTTATAAAATATATATAAATATATATATATATATCTTCCAACCTCTTTCTCATGGGCGGGACATGGTGAGCCTCTCACTTTTCTAGCGCTACTTGCATGAAAAGTGGTCGGACGGACTGCATTCCTTGGTTCTGTCAGTTCTAACCTTCACGGACTTCTAGGACTCGCCATGCCACTTACATCGTAGCAAACCACCCACATTCCCTCCATATTCCATTAATGAGTAAGTTCCACTCCAACAGCTTCTTCCCGCGAACCACTGCTCTGTGGAACAGACTCCCAAGAGGATATTTCCTCGATCACTACACTCTTAACCTGTTCAAGTCTAGAGTAAACTGTTATCTTTCCCTCCTATCCGTAT